CTGTGTTGACGTATAATTATGGTTGCCTTTTCCTATTTTATATCAATTATCATGCATCTGCATGTAATTGACAAGAATGAAGGAACGGCACACAGTGAGTGCGAAACGAAATCAATTGCTAATTATTCTAACACTTGGACGGGCTCGGTGAATTGACTCGCTTATTCGAGACTTATAACAGCTTAGATTGAAGAAAAAAAAAATTTAGTTAATTCGATGATGTAATTGATCCAATTAAATCTGATAAATTAAAATATACTCAACAATTTGCTAATTCTTTTTTTTTATTATTAAAACAATATTATTTTAATTATTTTTTTAATCAATTTGAATTGATATGGTTAAACCCTCTCTCCCGTAATCAAGGCATTGCCCCAGTCAAACATCTGATGGAGTTTTAAAACTACGCCAATTATAATGAATGCTTAGGTGTGAAAAAAAAACGATAACCAGTAAACAAGAGGTGACTCACCTACCTAATCCAAGCCCTAATTTTAAATATATTATTCTTTCAAAGCCTAACTTGGTTTACTACTTGATTTCGATGTAACTTGGAAATAAAAGTTGAATAAGACCACTCCACTACTAGCACACAACATGAGAAACCATGCAATTTCCTTTCAAATCCGACTTGTTTTCATACGACGAGGAACCCTTTATAAATACCTCATCAAGCCTTCATTCTTCTCCATTCAATCATCCATATCTTGACCCCTCTCAATCTCTCCTCCATCAATACTTCAATATCTTCTTGAGGTGTACACATTTTACTTGCCTAGCTCGATTAATTTCTAATACACACAACATGAAGCATCTTAAGATATTCTTTTTGCTAGCCATGCTCATGTCTTTAGCCATTATTCTTTCTGCTACACCGTCTGAGGAAGAATCATTCCTTGACTTTGATAACGAAGATGAGGAAAATTCTGATCTTCCACAGCCTGAGAACCAAGAAACAACTTCATCTTTACGAGGGGCAAACCGGTTTCTGGCCCAGACTCGGGCTGTCATGACATGTGACAGGTACCCTAGGGTTTGTCGTGTCACGGGCAGCCCCGGTCCAGATTGTTGCAAGAAGAGGTGTGTGAATGTGATGACAGACAAGTTCAACTGCCGCATGTGTGGTAAGAAGTGCAAGTATCCGGAGATTTGCTGCAAAGGTCGGTGTGTGAACCCGATGTCTAACAAGAAAAACTGTGGGGGCTGCAGAAACAAGTGCAAGAAAGGGAGTAAATGTCAGTATGGAATGTGCAGCTATGCATAGAAATCCATGGTTCCACGCATGCACGTATGTATCTACTTGATCTGGGACCAAACAAGTAGAGATTTGCAGCTTAAATTGAATTTGTTTGTAGTAGAAACAGCTACATCTATACATATGTAGTTAGTAGCATGGTAGTTTGGGCAAGGAAAAAAGGCGAACCATCTTCCATTAATCATCGGCTCCGCTGGGGTTTTATTTGTTCTTTCAATTCAATGCCTTATTGTAAGAAGGGATATATATATATATCCTTAATTCTTGTATTGTTTCCAGTTAATTTTTCTATATATGGTTTATAGTTGGTATTTTTCTTTTTTTCATTTTTCTACTATTTATCGTATTTATTTTGGATTAATATCTTGGATTCGGATTAATTATTTAACGATATTCAAATTTGGGGTCTCTACATACTTTACCCTAAAAGTAAAATATTGAGTTTAAACTGGTAATTGAAGTCAATTCATAGGTTGAATTTTCTTCTTTTTTTTTTAATAAAGAGAAGTCAGGTATTTTTTTATAGGATTAACATTTGCACACATATATATGATATTTGAAGAAATCCTTACAAATGAATTTACCTAAAAATATATGTCCATGTGCTTGTATATATATATATATATGATTTAAGATTTAATAAAAGAGAGGCGATTTAGCACAACAAGATAAATAAAATTTTAATGGAAACGACGTTGCTACTAATTAATGTTTTCCTTTCGTTCTCTATTTCCTTCTTGTTTTCAAATAAGGAAAAAAAAAACAATTTGTCCGTCTTCATTTTTACTTTTATCTCAAATCTTCTTCCCTCATTTCTTTCATTTTAATTATTTGCACTCTTTTAAGTTCTTCATCCTTCAAGTTACAAAATAATATAAATTATATTTTATAACATAATCTAATAGTTTGAAGTTAAAATAATTATTTGATATTATATTAAAATATTAAGAGTACAAATTTTAATTTTTGTTTGGCTATTAATTTTATGAGCTTTTCAATATAATCTTGATGATTATCCAAAAAATATAAAATTTAATATTCTCATTTTCTTTAATTAAAATTAAAAATTAATCATAAAATAATGACATATTCATATAAATTTTAAATTCAAAGAGATTTTCTTTCAATGCATTAAACAATAATATAAATAATATATTGACAACTTAATTAATTACAGATATTTTTTCGCATTCTAAAATATTTTTTTTTAAGTTTGAAAGTGAGTGGGTTAAAAAATTCGTGGGCCCATTCAGCTCGCTAAAAAGGCTTAAAATTGAGCCGATTTCCTAGAAGAGGTAAAAAAAATAAAAAAATCAAGTGAACTTGGTGAGCTAAAAGCTTAAGATACGAAGATAATGTTGTCTAGCAATCGACCCTGATCAATGTCAAAAGAAAGACTCCGAGAAAGTGCTCCTATAATGGTATTTCAAGTTTGTCAAACGGTCAGTGTTCTTGTTTGTACGAATATGGCTAGAAACGTGGGCTAACGGTGTGTTGCCGAAATGGAGTCAAATCATTTGTGTTGACACATCATGGCGGCCGGCAAGTTCTACTAAACAATTATTTGACATGATCTAGAGTTTTGTTAAACCCATGATTAATGGTATATTGGTAGTATTTGTAAATAATTAATAGCAGCTAGCTAGAAAACATTAGCTTTGCACGAATATATATATATATATATATATATATGACAGAGACCTCGAAATAAGCTTTGCTTTGCGATGCCGTGATATCAGGATGATCTTTTTTTTATACATTTTAAGTTTTTTGGTTAGATAGGAATTGTCAATTAATATTATAATTATTAAAAATTATAATTGGTTTTTAGAGATTTTAGACAAAGAATTGATTGCATAAAAAAAATACACTAGTATTTCTAATACACCTTACTTGATATATTTACATTATTTTTTGTTTGTGGTTGTTGTTGTTACCTATCCCCGTAACATAAACCCCGTAACATAAACTAAAAAAAAAATATTGGAAGAAAATAAAAAGAATATATCAATAAAAAGAATATATTATAATGTTTAGGAAATTACAAAAAACTGATAAAGGAAGATCAAAAGAATATACTAAAACTCCTAAGTGTGTTTTTTTTTTTCATATCCTTGTATTTCACTTTGATTATTGATTTTATGATCTTTTCAACATACTTTAGATGATTATCTGAAAAACTCTAATAGTATATTTTTGACTAATAAAGATTCAATTGGCAAAGAAAAATTCAATTTAAGAAGAAAAATTTTAAATTGAATGTTTAAGGACTTGATTGGATTTTTTCAAGTTTTAGTTGAATTTATTGGAGTTTTAGTTGATATTTTCAAGAAAAATTAATTTTTGAAGTCAATTTATGTTTTAATTGGAAGAAATTATAATCTAGGGGTTGAGTTGCAATTTTTAATAGTTAATTTCATCAAATCAGGAACTTAATTGCATAAATATTAAAGTTTAATGAGCAATTAGATATTTAATTGAAAAAATTCAAAATCAAGAATCAAACTAAAAAAAACATAAATATAGGTGTTGAAATTAACTACATCAGGGGTTAAATTAGAAAAATTAAAAATTTGTTAGTCAATTAAGGATCAAAATACACAAATTCAAAATCAAGAACTAAAATTAAAATAGCAGACAACTTTAGGACTAACAATTAAATTTGTTATTGATAAAATTACATTAAATTAAAAGTTTTAAAAATAATTAAGAGTGCAATTAAAAATAATTAAGGATTAAAATAAAATCTATTAAATTTCTAATTAAGAACTTTAATTTTTGGAAATTTCATTAAACATCATTCATCTTCCTCCTTGGTAGTTTGTTAATTATTTTCATCCAGAGAGGGGGGTAAACCTTTGTGTATGTTGACGGTAAAAGAAAGAGCTAAGGTGAAGAAAGGTTTAAGACGGGCTCTTCATAGTTAAATGTGGTGGCGCTAAGTAGGGTTTTTTTTAGTATCTTTTGGGATAGTGTGTAGTGGAAAAATTAATTCATTGTGGTTTTTATTTTTTTATTTTTATGACTAATGCTTTAACTAACCCCTTTCAAGATAATCTAAACCAAAATCAATCAATTTCAAGAATTAATATATGCCATTAATTTGATTTTTTTGTTTCTTAATTTGTAGAAAAACTTTTAGGCAAAACAAAGAAATATGATTTCTTGGATTAAAAATATTGATTATAGATCATTTGATTAAAAATATATTGCTTAACGAGAAGATTTTTTAATTTTTAAAGTGGTCATAACCCTTTCACAATTACAATTATATATAAAAAAATTGCATTTTTTGTCATTTTTTATTTATTTTTGAAACACGAAAATGTTATGAAATGACTGTATATTAGCCAAATCATGTCTGAAAAATTTTGATTTTTTATTTTTAAAAGAAATTTTTGGGTTAGAAAATGTGGCATGAAAAATGATAACAAATATATTTCACCCGTGACGTGAGAGAAATTGACAACTAGCTAGTATGAAGAGAAGACTTGCCTACCGTCGTCTGATTTCTCTTCCAATTTATACCTAATTTAAAATATAATATTCTTTAAAAACCTAACTTGGTTTACCTTCGAGAGTTCGATGAAAACAATTCTCCTGGGGCCGTTGAATAAGACCACTCCACTAATAGCACACAATTTGAGACACCATGCAATTTTCCATAGTCCAAGAGCCTCCTGTAATTTCTTCTCTATAAATACCTTCGAGTTCTGCTTTCTTCTCCATCCCAAGCATACTATATCTTCACCACTCTCCTTGATCAATATTTTTCATCACTTTCAACTACATTTTACTTGCGTGGTCACCATAACACACACAGCATGAAGCTTCTTGATATATTTTTTGTCCTGGCAATTATCATGGCTTTAGCCATTTCTCTTACTGCTACACCATCCGAAGAAGAGTCATCCCTTGACTTCAGTGAAAATGGAGATGAGGAAAACTTTGATCTTCCTTGGCTTGAGAGCCAAGAAACAACTTCATCTTTGCGAGGGGCAAACCGCTTTCTAGCTCAGAAAATTCGGGCTGTCATGACGTGTAACAAGTACCCTAGAGTTTGTCGTGCTAAGGGCAGTCCCGGGCCGGATTGCTGCAGGAAGAAGTGTGTGAATGTGATGACAGACAGGCTCAACTGTGGAATGTGTGGTAAGAAGTGTAGGTATCCTGAGATTTGCTGCAAAGGGCAGTGTGTGAACCCGATGAATAACAAGAAAAACTGTGGGGGCTGCAGCAACAAGTGCAAGAAAGGGAGTAAATGTCAGTATGGAATGTGCAGCTATGCATAGAAACGCAGGCCGGTGCTATGCTTATATATCCATATCTGATTTGGACCCAAACAAGAATGAACAAGTAGATATTTGTAGCTTAAATTCATTTGCTTCGATATTGGAGCTTCGTATATCTTTTTTGGGGTTTATTTATTCTTTCGATTCTACACCATAATGTAAGAAGGGATATGTCCTTCACTATTATTCATTTCAAGATATATAGTTTTTCCTAATCATCAAGTGTAATTGCTGCCAAATATGTTTTTTTTTTTGTGTGTTTCCATTATTTTTGTTTTGGAATTTATAAGTGGAGATATTAAAAAATAATATAAATTATATAATATAATTTCATCTAATAATTATTGGATGGAGACCAAGGGTGGAGGCATGTATGGGTTTAGGCGAGTTCTAGCCCAAGTCAAAATTTTATCAATATTTTTAAATTAGTTTTATATAATTTTTTTTTATAATTCTCAAGTATCAAAAAATTCTGAAAATTAATATAGAACCTTTTAATATGATGCTTTAAGTTGGGTTAAAATTTTAAATTTTTTGAAAAAATTCAGAAATTTAATAAAAAATCATAGTTTGACTAGTTTTACGTTATTGAGTATAATTTTTAATCCGACCATTAGATTAAGTTGAATTTTATGAGGGATCTAAAAATATATTAAATAAAATATTGTTAAAATTTTAGGATTAATAGAGTTTGGTAGTGCTAACAAAAAAAAAATCAAATAAAAACAAAACGACTTATTTAGGATTTAATTATTTTATAGTTTTGTAAAATTAATTTTTTAAAAAAATATTTTTAAATAATTACTGATAAAATTACATACAATATTTTTATGCGAAAAATACTAATGAAATAAAGCGGGTAATCTTTTTATGTGTATATTTTCTGTCAATAAATTTATCATTAATAGTATTTTTTTATTACTAATGCACGAAAACTTACCTACAAAAGAGTATTTTCATTTTTATAAGTGGAGATATTAAAAAATAATATGAATTATATTATATAATTTCATCTAATAATTATTGGGTGGAGACCAAGGGTGGAGGCATGTATGGGCTCAAGTGAGTTCTAGCCCAAGTCAAGATTTTATCAATATTTTTTAATTAGTTTTATATATAAAAAAATTGTAATTCTCAAGTATCAAAAAATTCTGAAAATTGATATAGAACCTTTTAATATGATGCTTTAAGTTGGGTTAAAATTTTAAAATTTTTGAAAAAATTCAAAAATTTAATAAGAAATTACAATTTGACTAGTTTTATGTTATTGAGTATAATTTTTAATCCGACCATTAGATTAAGTTGAATTTTATGAGGGATCTAAAAATATATTAAATAAAATATTGTTAAAATTTTAGGATTAATAGAGTTTGGTAATGCTAACAAAAAAAAAGTCAAATAAAAGCAAAACGACTTATTAAGGATAAAATAATTATTTGTCATTAAAAATAAAACAAATTAGTTGCTCCTTTCTTTTATATATTGTCGACTAGGCAGAAGCAAAATAGAAAAGGAAAAAAAAGAAAAGGCGAGAGAGAAAAGTAAGGGAAAAACATAAAAAATCCAAAAAAAAAAGTATGAGAATAACTCTGTAAATTTACAAAGTGCAACATATAAAATACTAATCTAAGAAAGAATTAAGTGAAGGAAGGAGGAATTGAGAGAGGAAAAAAATTAATTATTTTATTTTTCAGTTGACATAAGATTGTTACTTTATTCCGGTTAAAGGGCTGTTACAATATCGATTCAGATTCAATTATAGATGAATTATATTCCACAAAACATCAAAGGATGTAACTTTAATAGTGAGTTTATTTTTACTTTCACTTGAATTTTATATATTTTTAAATTTATTTTTTAATATTTTGGGTGATGTATTTGAATTAAAACTTTATTGTTAACTTTAAAAATTCATATGAGTTAATAATTTATCTTAAAAAATAATTATATATTTATTTAATAGTTTAGAGCAGGAAAAATTTCTAACTCCGCCCTTGGTTGATATGGTTCTTTAACATGGTATTAGATCCTTAATGATCAAGCGGTCATGAGTTTAAATTTCACCATTCTCATTTATTTAAAAAGAATTAAACACAATAGCATATGTAAGTTCTAAGTCTAAAAGACGTTCACTTGAGACGGTGTATTAGAGAATAATATTAATCATATCTTATGACCTTATTTAAGAGTTTAAATTATTGAGTTGAGATAATTATTTGATAATAAATAATATAATAATAAAAAGAAAAATTAATAATAATAATTTTATTTAAAAAAATAGATGGAGAAAAGAAGCATATGATTAGTTTTTTGTTACTGTAATAATCGAGGAAAATTTATTTCACCAAGGAATATAAAATCTAACCGATATTTATTTTACTCAACATAGGAAAAGTGACCTCTAATCCTGCTAATATTTATATATTTAACCATTTGAGAGGAAAAAAAGAATGAGAGAGTTTATATGTTTGTGAAGATATAAGTATATAAAAGATAAAAAATAAATATATTTGATTGGATGAAAGAAAATAAAGATAAAAAATAAATTTATCTTTTAAATAAATTAAGAGTGAATTTCTATTATTCCCAAAAATATAAGAATATATCTTATCTATTTTTATTGTTTTTATCTCTTTTTTTCAAGATAATAAAATAAAAATTATCTAAAAGTATCTATAACTGTATATTTTCTAATTTGTTAGAAAGGTAAGAGGGAACATAATAAAATGAAAAGGGGATGGAAAAAACATTTCTCTTTAGATCCAAAAAGAAAATAATCTAATTTGGAAAGAAATATTACATAAATATTAATTTAAATAATTTTTTAATTTTATAAATTATTCATTTTGAATTTACATCTAACATCTGTAACTAAACTAAAGGAATATTGAATAAAAATATTCTCTTTCTATATATGTCTTTTGTTTTATTATCAGAAAATTAATAAATACAAATAAAAATATTAATGGAATATTTTCATTGATAAATTTATGATAGATTTTACCAACAAACATATTCCCTCAGTGTATACTAAGAGAATTATAGTGACAAAATAATTAAAAGTAAGAAAAAAAAAAATGATAACGTGTCATTTATGCCAATAGAATTATTGATAGAATAAAGTATTATCGATAGATACATCGATAAAATTATTAGTAAACTGTTAACATTGTTCATCATGACAATTATAAAGAGAATTATCACTAAAAAATTCAATTGGTATTTTCCATGGAGCTTTGGAATTGTTTACTTTTCAATTGCACTTTTAATTATTATTCTTTACAAACAAAATCACTGATAGATTAAAAAGTCGTAAGTGATATTGAGCGGGTTTTTAAAATTTTTTGATTAAATTAAAAAATTTAATTAAATATTATAGACAAAATCACCGATGAAATAATTAAAAAATATTAATATTTAAGTATCCATCCATAAAAAGACTTAATAAAAAGTCTAGAATCCCTAATTTTACAACAGACATGGCTCCGTTCTTCTTCTTTTTCTTCTTCTTTCTTTTTTGTTTATGTAAAAAACATCAATATCCATTTCTTTATCTTCTCTCCTCAACTCTTTTTTTCTTTTTCTTCTTCATGCTCAAGTATGTTATCTTCTTCTTTCTTTCTTTTTCTTCTTAGTTTTCTTTAAGTAATATACTTTATAATTTTTTTTTTCTCTTCTTAGTTTCACTTACAACTACATTAAGGTAAGATTTTTTTCTTCTTTTTTCTTCTTTTTTTCACTATTTTTTAAATTTTTTTGTTCTTAATAATTGGATGAATATTGTTGTAGGATTATTTTTTTTTGTATGAGATCAATTTTTAGTTGATTTATTTATAGGATTTTAAAATTTTTAGTAATTGCAACTTTATTTGTTTCATACGAATTTTTTTAGTTGAATTTATTTTTTCTTGTTATTTATTTGTTGCAAAATTTGTTTGAGCTGATTTTTTTTCTAAGTTTTTTTTTAGTATTATAGAGTGTTGATTTATATTAATTTAATTATTTTATAGTTTTGTAAAATTATTTTTTTAAAAAAATATTTTTAAATAATTACTGATAAAATTACATACAATATTTTTCTGAGAAAAATACTAATAAAATAAAGCGGGTAATTTTTTTATGGGCATCTTTTCTGTCAGTAAATTCATTATTAATAGTATTTTTTTATTACTAATGCACAAAAACTTACCTACAAAAGAGCATTTTCATCTATAATTTTATTAGTAAATTAATTATTAATGAAATGACACTATAAATATTAATAAAAATTTTCATTGATAAATATAAAGATTATGATAGTGATAGATAGGACATTGTAATCACTTGATTATTTTTCTTTGGATTTTTTCTTTTTTTACAATTAGCATACTTAAAATTGAGCCGAATTGAATCCAAAAAAATTGAACAGAATGGCTAGACGGTTGAGCCAGAAGCTTAAGATATGAAGATGAGAGTCCAACAACCTTGCACAAGGCCAGAAGAAAGACTATGAGAAAGTGCCCCCTTCACGGTTTTTCAAGCTTGTCAAAGACGCGGCGGGGTTCCTTGTACGGTTTTGAGTTGTAATCCTAAACAATTAGCTGTAACCCACCGTCTCCCTCCACAGTACTTAAAGTTTCAGCCCTCCCTAAGAGTTGAAAATATCTTGAACCAATAAGGATGTTGCATTCAATTTGGCAACCTGTGAACACGGTAGAATTTTCTATTAATTTCTATAACTTTTCGAATAAATTAAATTATCAGTCAGGAGTTCTTGTGGTATTATATCCATGTGTCCATAACGACAAGCACGATAGATACTGCTACCTCTCCCTACCGTTATCATCATCGTCACAAGCACGATAGATACTGCTACCTCTCCCTCCCGTCATCGTCGTCGTCATCGTGGTAATAATTATCCTTGCTTTTTCCCATCAATTTTACATCGTGCATGTTCTTCTCATTCGTCAAGAACTTAGTAACATATATTTCGGCTACGTGGAAGAAATTAATAACTATATGGATGGATGAATGAATGTATATGTATTTTTGAAGAGGAGACTTGCCTACCTAATCTTAGTCGACGTATAATTTTTCATCCAATTTAGACCTAACTTTACATCTAATATTCTTTAAAAGCCTAACTTGGCTTACCTTGAGTTTGACAAGAACTCTTAAGGCCGACGTTGAATAAGACCACTCCACTAATAGCATACCATACGATGAGAAACCATGCAATTGCCTATTATAACCAAAGAGGAGCCTAGCTCCTTGATCAGTTTCTTCTCTATAAATACCTCTGCAATTCTCCATTCTTCTACATCCAAAGCATTCATATATATCTACACCATTCTTCTTAATCAACAGCTCTTCGCCATATATTTCAAGCTATATTTTGCTGCGTACACGTTATATAACACGCGCATACCATGAAGTTTCTTAAGATATTCTTTTTACTAGCAATGTTACTCGGGTGTTTAGCCATTACTCGTTCTGATACACCATCCGAGGAAGATCAATCGTCTCTTGACTTCATCAATGATGATGACGAGGGAAATTCTGATCTTCCCTGGCCAGAGAACGAAGAAACAACTTCATCTTTACGAGGGGCAAACCGCTTTCTCGCTCAGACTCGGGCTGTCATGACCTGTAACAAGTACCCTAGGGTTTGTCGTGTCAAGGGCAGCCCTGGTCCAGATTGCTGCAAGAAGAAGTGTGTGAATGTGACAACAGACAGACTCAACTGTGGCATGTGTGGTAAGAAGTGCAAGTATCCTGAGATTTGCTGCAAGGGGCAGTGTGTGAACCCGATGTCTAACAAGAAAAATTGTGGGGGCTGCAGCAACAAGTGCAAGAAAGGGAGTAAATGTCAGTATGGAATGTGCAGCTATGCATAGAAATTGTTCCATGAGATTTGTTTATTATTTAAATATGTAAGAGGGATACCCTTAATTCTTGATTTATTTCATGTTGGTCATAGTCACTTGCTTGTGTAAGTAAGTTTAGTTTAATAAATGAATTAGGATTTGAGTTATAGTTATAAAATAATATTTAAGAAAGAGATTTTCTTATTGTAGAATTCAAAACTCAGTGAAGCTTTTACTATATTAAAATTAAAGATTTCTCCAGCTATTATTAAGTGGTTAATGTTTTTATGTCAAGGGGATCTTCCTTGACTCTTTCGGAGAAACCTTAAATTAGCTTTAATCATATTACCTAATTGAGATAAAAAACAAAATATTTATCAATTGGGTCTCACATTTTTCAGGTATTCTCAATTAGATTGTATAATACCAATTTTTATATATTAGTTTTTCACGAATACATTTTGAAAATCTCATCATTTATAGCATAAAATATACATATTAGACGAAATAATATTAATAATTAAGCATTTAGAAAAGGACTCGATTAAGAATTATTTAAAACATTTTAGACCCAATTAATTTTTTAAGTATTTTTTTATATAATTTTGACATATTAATTTTAATTTTTTTAAAAATATTTTAATATATTTTAAAATAAAAATTTTTAGACTGTACTATTAGGATACATGTTTCTAGCTAACAAATCTATAATATTATATTAAGAACCTTATGTCTGCAACAGCCGTAAAGGAGAAAGAGATGCAAGGTAAAAAGGACCACGTCAAGAAGTAGCAAATCTATATAATATAAATATTTCTCCAAGAACATTCTTCTCATGTTATGTGACTCGAATCAAGGAATATATTGATGAAGATCCTTGATAAATTGTATATCATGATCTCCCCATAATATATCTACATTGAGGGCTTTGGATTGGCCAGGCAATGGCTTTGATCTCTTGAAACGTCCACGTTTTGTCTAGCCATCAAAATCCTAACAAACAACTTAACCAAATCGTGCTAACCACCTTCTTGTATCTTGTTTATATAATCCCCTTGTTTTATCCATTTGTACCACCCAACCACAAACGATGGCCTCGCTAGCCCACGTCCTGTTGCTTTCATGTCTTGCTACATTCTTTGCTTCAAACTTGCAGGCTGATTCACTTAACTACAAGCCTAAATCCTTATCAGGCTATCTTCCAAGAAATTATAAGAAAGTCCTGAATACCATAGATTCATGTTGGCGGACGGAGTCCGATTGGGCTACCAATCGTCGTGCTTTGGCCGATTGTGCTGTGGGATTTGGCCAGGCTGCAATCGGAGGGAAATACGGGAAAACATACGTTGTCACTACTCCGGATGATGATCCGATAAATCCGAAACCAGGCACGCTTCGGTATGGTGCTATCCGGACTGAGCCTCTTTGGATCATTTTTGCCAGAGACATGGTTATTACACTCGAAAATGAGCTTATGATAAATAGTTACAAGACTATAGATGGGAGAGGTGCTAATGTCGAGATTACAGGCGGGCCGTGCCTAAAAATTGAACATGTTAGCCATGTTATCATACATGGGATTAGCATTCATGACTGTAAGCCAGGTAAAAAGGGGCTTGTTAGGAGTAGTCCGAGGCACGTTGGTGAACGCCGAGGTGCTGACGGAGATGCCATTGCCATCTCTGCATCGTCTAATATTTGGATTGACCATTGCTATCTTGCTCGCTGCATGGATGGCCTAATTGATGTGATTCATGCTTCCACTGCTGTCACTATCTCTAACAACTATTTCACCGAGCATGATAAGGTAAGAAGAAAACGCTTCCCCTCATTAGCCCTAGCTTATATTTTCCGATCACGATCACTAACCAATTTGGTACTACCAGGTGATGCTGCTAGGACACAACGATAAATACACTGAGGATCAAGTTATGAAAGTAACAGTTGTCTTCAATCATTTTGGCCCTAAACTCAATCAAAGAATGCCAAGGTGAGTTGATTTATATATTATTAAAATCCCATGACATTTATCGCTTCAAATCTAATGCAAAAATTGTGTTCAAAATTACACGCAGAGTAAGGTTTGGTTATGCCCACGTTGCCAACAACAGATATGATAAATGGCAAATGTATGCCATTGGCGGCAGTGCCGGTTCAACCATATTCAGTGAAGGGAACTACTTCATTGCTCCTGACATTTCCTATGCCAAAGAGGTGTGCATATTTTTTTTTTAATAAGAGAAATTATTACATGGACTTGCTTCATTGTTTTTGTTCAACGCGCCAACCCATTACAGACTGTAAGGTTCATTGCTTCGGCAAGCTAAAGCTATTTTAATCCACCGTCCTAGATTCATGTAAAAATTTTGTTGTCTTTCATTAGCAAGGAGCACTTACTAAGAAAAAAATGTATTATGCCTGTAGGTTACCAAGAGAGAGGTTTATGGTGGTTGGAAGAATTGGAAGTGGAGGTCATCCAAGGATGTATTTATGAACGATGCTTATTTTGTCCAATCTGGATATGGAAGGTGTGCACCACGTTATTCCAAAGCTCAGTCCTTCACAGCTTCTCCAGGAGCTATGGCTCCTGCTTTGACATCTGATGCGGGCCCTTTAAACTGTGTTGTTGGTGAAGCATGTTGACACAAGGGACAAGCCATTTTCTAGGCCAGTATTGCCTACTTGTTCTTTACAATATTTCTTTAGATTTCTTTCATTGTAATGAGCATTTGCCGTTGTTTTTTAATGGGTTAATTGTAATAGAAATTTGAATCCTTTTTTCTTTAAACAGATAGTAATTTGTATCATGGTCATCCTACCATGTATAATTAGAGAAATGAAAGTTTCTATATTGGAGTCCAAACGGATTGGAGGGCAGAAACGAATATTAAAATTAAAACCTTGATATAATTAAAGATCCATGTAGTATGATAGAGATCACTGTTTATAAACTTATTATACCTTATTGCCACAATAAGAGATCAGATCATATGTAGCGACAAATTATCAGAGATCAGACAAAAATTCTTCTCTATCTTGCATTAATTCTTGCAATATCCAATGCACACTTGGAACGATTTAGTAGATTTTCCAAGCTTTACTTATAACTTCAGATTAGGCTTGCTATGTCAGTGATTTTTTTTTGTCTTTGGGATAAACAAGTCAACCAGCTTGAGCTCGTGCAACCACGTTTTGTCTAGCACCAAATTCTTAGCAAACATCATAACCTAAAATACAAATCAAGTTTTTTAGCCTCTAGATTGTGTGACCCTCCTTCTCTTGTTCTATAAAATTTTCTTCTTTTATCCATTTTCTTGAATCATCAATCACTCTACCCGTGGCGCCCTCGCTATGAAAGTAACTGTGGCTTTCAACCGTTTTAGCTCTTGACTTATTAAGAGGATGCCAAAGGTAGGAGAAACAATACATTTTGAGAAATAGAAAAACGAGGCATTGTTTTGTGATAGTTATAACTGGATATCAATCTAAGTTTCATTTTATCTGTCAAATCTAAGATAAATTTTGGGGCCTCATGTTGCAGGGTAAGGTTTGGCCATGCCCATATTGCAAAGAATAGATATGACGAATGGAAAATGTATGCAACTTGTGGAAGTGCTAATCCACCTATTCTTTAGTGAAAGGAACTACTTTAAATCTCCTCGAGATGATTCCAAGCAGGTATAACTAATTAATTATTCTTAATAATATCCCATGACCATCATGCAGATAGCTAGATATTCTTAATTATACCCTATATATGTACAAAGAACTAGTCTTTAATTCATACGGAGAATGTTTCTTACATGACAGGTTACAAAGACATGGCTTCTTGGAAAGCATGTATAATAATTTTAGCACTTTGATGGAATTGTATAGGGACCATACATGTCTGCCGACACAGATTTTTAAGAGGCAGTGTAAAGCAAGATGAAATCCACCAAAACTTGATGCTCCAGTTAAAGCAAGTTTGTGATCATTAATTATATTGGTCATCATAATTTCTTCACTTTTGTTTGGTTCATAGTCTTTTTTTTTTTTAATTACTTTTATTCAAGGTGTGAGCAGGATCAACCTAAAATCATGTTGCTTGAAATAGTGTGATCAAGTGACAAAGCCAATTAAGCTCAGTAGCTGGTGCACTATCTAGCTCTGACCAAAAAGGGGGTGAAAGTAGGAAAGTTGACAGAAATTGTGAACCCAAAAGCAAAAAAAATATCTTATATTACTGTATAAACAGTTCAGGATAAACTTGGAAACGAAGAGAACAGATTCATGAAGTGGCTTGTTAAAGTGCTAAAGGCAACTCAAAAAATAGAAAAAAAAAGAGAAAAGAGAAAGTGATGGGCATTCACTTTTGTTGATTTGTTTTTAAAAGAGCCTATTCTCATTGCTTTGAACCCCACATGTTACTGGTGCTGTGGCTCTCACTTTCTTCCAATACCAGAGACCAGCACCAATCCCTATGGCCCCAGCTGCTGAGACTCCAGTTACAGTCCCTGCAAATCACAATAAGAAACATCAAAAAAAATAAGCCTGATCTTTCAATTCAATATCCAAAATATTCCCAGAAAAAATTACAACTACATGTAATACTCCACCTGCAATGACTCCTGCCTTGCTATGGCTAGTAGTGCTGTGATCTGCAGACAGATATAAACAACTGTTGGTTTGTGACATTTTCTTTTTAGAATGTTGATGAAAAAGCTTGAATACTAACATACCATTGCAATAAGTTGTGACATTTGATCTCTGATTGCATAGACATAAGAAACTCTGTGATTGGGTGTCAAATCCACACGATCCACCTCCTTTCTTCATGTCTTGACATTGAAGGCAATCTGTAGTCACTGGAATATCAAAATCAACTCTAATACCATACTCAGGTACTTGATCATCAGGAGCATTTACACCAGTCCTCCAATAAATACTAGCATAGCTAGCACAATACTTCAGCATCAGCCTCAACGATTCAGTCGCTTTCGGTAAGTAAGAGCAGCAAGAACTACTACCCAATGCAGTAGCACATCTTGGCAAGTGCCTGCAAAGATAACTAGCACTATCACATGTTGAGTCGCACCGATCAGGAAACCTCTCACAGAAGATAGGCTTTGGCTGAACAATCACCCTCTCTTCGCTACAATTGAAGAAGAGATAGTCATTTTGAGCGGAGAGTGTTAAATGTGTGCTTGTGTCAAGGCTAAATGGCCTAGTTGCACGAAAGTGAGGACCATCTTGACAACTCCACATGAATGGATCAGTGACTATCATGTGAGGATCTGAGTAGCTTATGCTACGAACTTGGTATCTCCCGGAAGGCGTTCGAAGCTCAAGAAAGCCCGAATCGGAGCACACAAGTATGTGTCTGTAATATGGACTGCCACAGCCATCATCAATGCCAAAAGGGTAGCTTATCGGAATAGTTCCACATGAGGTTCTGCAATGGCCTGCAGCTTGAGCTTTTGTGAGGAAGAAATATGGAAAACTGAATATAATGAATAGGAGACCAAAAGAATGATGAAAACAAGAACATGAAGAAGGGTTATAAGCCATTAGAAATGTGATGGAAGTTTTGAGTGTTTGATGGTTAATATCGAGTTTGTGTGGTTTAAAGATAGCGATGAAATGAATAAAGGGAAGGCTAAACGGGAGTCGCAAGAATATATCTCGGAAGTGTTCTTTTTCTTTTTCCTTTTACTTTTGTTTACTTTTTATGCTTGTTACTTTGTTTTCACTTGTTCTTTGCTTTAGGGTTTTAGAAGAGAATCTAGAGACAAGAGAATGGTCGATGGAAGAGCATGTGTCCTTGATCTGTTCCTTGATTTGTTTATTTTCTCTGGCAATGATTTTGGTCATGAATCAAGATGCATGAAAGTGACAGCACCATGGGCAATGGGGGAAAACCAAGAGGCTAACCAACAGGGCTCATGAAACTCTGGATACATTCATCTTTGGTCCAGAGGCTGTGGTCTGTGGACTATGGATGGGAGACTTGTCTATTATGTGAAAGCATGAGATTACCTTCAAGCCCAATGCAAAGACATTCATTGGAGGTCCATGGCTGTGGACCAACACTGCTCATATGAGGAAAGAGTTAAGCTCGTAGAGTAATTGTGGCAGAAGTACCTCTAATCATAATGGTTCAACTCAGCCTGATATAGTTGATTAAACCAGGAATCCAGAGACCTAAACTTCGGATTAGCACGTGTCAAAAATTTGATTGTTTAAAATTATAAAATCCTGTTTGTTAATGTTTGATTAATTAATACACGTTATATTTTTACATGTATCCCATCAAAAACTCTTTTTTAAAATATTGGTTAGAGAAAATGCTATAATTTATAATTTTTTTAAATTTATTTTATCAAATCATAGTCGTAAAAGTTACTAGAATATCGATTAAACACACACCAAACCAACAATTGCTAGCCTAACTTGATATCTAGATGAACTTGAAAGAGCTAAGACAAATCCAATTAGGTTAATTGCTAAAAATCCTTTTTACTAAAAAAAAATACATATACAAGAGGGAAAGAAAATAAAATAATGAAAAAGAAATGTTTGATTCTAAATTTATGCACATAACCACTTTCATTTGATGAATTGAATATTACCTTTTTATGAAATTATAAATAAAGAAAATAAAAATTGATGCAATCGAGTTTCTTAAGTAAAGTTGTATCATTATTGAAGTGATTCCAGCTGTAATAACCTCAAAGTTAATGCATCAAACAACCATGCAAAAGACATATATAATTCAAGTTAATTTTTAATACCATATTAATTATCCAAGCTATTTGGGTTCTCTAATATGTAAGATGCAAGGCTATTTAGTTCTTGTTTTCGCCAGGATTCGAAGCCATTTTGAATCGGACCCAACATAAATATTTTTAATATTAATAATAATATTTAACTTATTAGTTCAAGTTTTTATTTTTTTTAATTATTAAAAAAAACGTATGGTTTTTCTTCTATTGTAATAATAATTGTTTTTTCTAATAATAATAATGATAATAATTTTTAATTCAACCCTTCAAATAAAATATATTATTGTTTTTTAATAATAATAATAATTGTGATATTAATAATACTATTTTTATATTAATAATTTTAATTAATATTTACAAGATAGATAATAATATTTTATCATAGTAATAATAATATTAAATTTGTCTAATTAAAGTTTATAGAATAATTTTTTTAAAACAAATTAAAAATAATAATAATATTTTTTTATTTCTTTTTATGGCTTTCTAAACCTAGGGACTATAAGAACAAACCTCAGCGGTCAGATCAGCACCCAGCATGCGAATCTGTTAGCTAGGCACTCGAGGCTGCAGCTAGGTGTTGGTTTGCCCCTTACACCCAAGGTTAGATAAACCGGCAAGTGTTTGCATGCTAAATGATTGTAGCTTGGGTACAATAAGTTTGTGTGCCCTGCTCTAAGCCCAGGCCTGACAGCCCAAGTGTCAAGTGTTCGTAGCCTAGGGAGTGTGCCTTTAGCGAGGTGCTTGAGGTCTACACACTACAACTTCACCATGCCTCCACCAAATAATACAATTCATAGTGAAAACACTCACAATCTATAATATTTTGACTGCAGTGCAAAACAATACAATTTATAATAAAAGTACTTATGATGAACAGTAGCATGTGCT